TCGCGAGATATCAGTATTTTAGTCTTCACGACTATATGCTTTCTTCTTTATTTATAAAAAGAAGAAAACATATAATCGCGAAGACAAAAATACTTATATCTCGTGATCTACTGGGCCGATTTTAATGTTTTAACCGCCATTTTAATCGCAAGATACTCATCTACAACATTTATTAGAAGTTTAAAGAACGGTTTACTTAGTAAAGAGAAAAGGTTTAGTTAAAAAACTCTAAATTCGAAAATCAAACTCAAACAGTTTGCAAACTTTGAAATCAAATCATCAAACCAAACTCAAACCTCGGAACCCTATATCAAACAGTAGATTTTTCCTATTACTCACTGATCTCCAAAAAAAAATTCGTTTGTTCCTAATTTCTTTTGCAACACATTATACGATTCGTAAACAATTTTATTCATCTGGAATAAATATATAAAAAAAAAAGAATAATAATTTAATGAAATTATGAATAATATCAAACGTTAATCATATATAAATTATGATGTCATATCGTAAGACCTTTTTATCCTTATCTATAATAATTCCAGTATCACCAACGCTTTCGATACCATGTATTTCCAACCTCTCCCTGGCGGAACTACGTAGTTGCGCTGGTATAAAATATTGCATTGGGAATGAAAGTAATCCCGCGTAAAGTGGACGGATGACTTCTATGAAATTTTTGGAATCAACGTACCATGCAAATAACTAAAAAATATTTAATATAAATATAATGAATCTTATATGATTTGAAATTATGATAAACGACTTACGAGTATATCGTAGACGCTTTCTTCAAGGTAAGAGGCGAACCTATTATTATAATATAAAAATTTATTAATTTAGAATCGTTAGACTTTAATCAGAAAACAAAAATAGTTTCATACGCCAGGCTATCTGCTTTTTGTTTATCTGTTAAATTTTCATCCGCATTTAAACCCTTAAAACAATGAAATATAAAATTTTAGAATTCAGAAAAAATTAGGAAAATTAAGTAAAAGGATACACACATTTTTCTTTAGGTGACTTATTATATTGTGAACACCTGTGATCCAATTCAGCCCATCTCTTAATACAGGAAGCTCCCCTACAGTAAGTATTCTTAAAGTTAATATTATAGAATAGCTTATGTGAAATGCGCGTATTACCTGTTGGAGATATATTTGGATTACTGCATTCAACAACTTTCCATTCTTCAGAAACAAGTTGTAAGTATGAAATGACCGATAAACACGCAGGGTCAATAGAAGGAAGTCCCCAATGTGAACCCCATACATAAAGACACAGCATTTTTCGAGAAGCGTAAACGATAGGATAAAGATAATCAAATATAATGTTGTAACATCAGAAGAGGTGCGTGATTTGCTGATGGCTGGCTCGGCTCGGCTCGTCTCACGGCTACCGTAAAATGTTGACCGATGTATCCGGATATTTGCAATGGCTCGACGCACATTTCTATTTTCAGCCGAAAAACGATTAATCGTCGAATTGGTATATAATTGTTAATTTTATTAATTTTGATATTCGGAGCATATGTACCAAATTCATACATTAAGTTATATGATTATATACCTTTCACAGATTATATTAACAAAGATCTCACAGACAAAATACAACGTCTACGCCGAGGAATGGAAAAAAACATTCCCTAGGACGACGAACCAGGTTATATCTACGTATATACCGGTATATATTATAAATTTATAAATGATTTGTTATTTGTTTATGTAAAAAAAATTTCTAATCCATATTGTACATAGTCAAAGAAATAAAGAATGCTTATAAAATAGGTAGAGCTAAAGACATTAAGCAACGAATGAGTACGTTTTTGAGTTATGAGCACCAGTGATGATCACCGCCGGTTATAGATATTATTTTGCAAATAAAATATGAACATTCTTAATTACTGCAGCTAGAAGCAGTGGGAAAAGAAATGTAAGTATAAAATAGAGCTATTAGAACCTTTTCCCACTGCTTATAAATGCAGATACGTGCATAGGGTGGAGAGGTTAGTCCATATTGAATTATCGGACATAAAGGCCTCTTTACAGAAATGCCCGGATTGTAAAGAGGTCCATTAAGGAGTGGTTTAAGGTTGCCAACTCCAAACGATCCCAGCAACCTGGTTGGAAGAGAATTAGAAAGATTATCGTTAAATGGATAGATTATTGCGATAAAGTTTATGGACCTGTTTAAAAAAACTATAATATTTTATTTTTGAAAAAGTTTAATTGCTCTTATCAGTTATTTATATAATTATGAAACGAATTGGAACTTAGTGACAGACTCTATTTTTATGCATAGCGATACAAAGTTCTTTCTTGATTTGATTTATCTTATTTTAATTGGCTATGCGATATAATTCATAAAGAAATCTTATTTTCACCCACAAAAGTTTCATTTTTGATCTGTATAATTTAGGCCTATCAAAAAAGTAACCGCCCTATCCTTGCATTGGGGTGTACGATATACTATATAAATCAAAACTATATATGGTACTATAAAAATTTAATATCGAAGATTTTTGGTGAAACAAAGTCAATTGATATATTTTTTGATTGCAAATTTCGAAGACTACGAGAATTTAATTAGAGACAGCTAATCGATTGTCGACGATTAATCGACTAGTTAGCTAATCGATTAGTTGACTAATCGATTGTATTTTTGAACCGATTTGTAACGCTACTCCACAGCATAAAATAATATTATATAGCATTTTAGTATCCGGAAATAAATCCTTCAGATTGCCTCAGGTACAAAACATAGGAGGATATATGCTAGCAACCAAATTTCATCAGATCGATCTAATTCCGAGTCTAGTTGATAAATTTTGCACATTATTCAAAATTTTACTAATAAAGCATACAAAGTAAAATTATCTAGATAATAATAATATAGTTATCTAATATTTCTGTATTTTACCGACCCATAAGGACGAAGATTTTGATTTAGAGATTATTAAAAATTAAATGATAATATTTGATATATTATAAAATTTAATCCAATCCAGTCATTTATGTGATGTTGCGTAATTACCGGAATTAATGACCATTAGGGATATTAAATGTTCAGCCGAACTAACTCGGCTCCAGGGATCAAGTTTTAACTAGACTCGAATATAGTCCTGTGACTCATAAATAGTTAAAAAATAATTAAATAGTTAAAGCGTATTAGTTTAATGCAAAATTGCATAAATTTTCTCAATATAAACTAAAACCACTTTTATTATATCAATTATTATTTATTAGTTCAAGAAAAGCTCGGCTCAAGTCGACTTTAAAGTCAACTAATCCAAGCTTTTAACATCCCTAATGGCCATGGCCATGACCACCTTCAGTACCAATATAATTAATTTTGAAGACTTGGCCACATTCTGGGCATCGATCAAATTCATGATTCTTATCCAGAACAAGCCATAGAAGTTCATGGGAATCAACCGGAAATCCTAGAAGGAATAATAAATTTTAGGTATATACGAATTGAACTTTGTATTGTCAAAAAGTAACCAACTTTTATTTAATTTTATTTAATTTTTTTTTTTTTGCTTTCTATATTAAATTACCATATTAAATTACCGTAAATTAATATACGTACCAGTGCAGCCCACATAACGGACAGGATCAACACTTTTAACTCTAATGGGATCTTTTTTTGTACCATATTTTGTTATCTTTAAAGGCTTCATTTCGAACAAATCTTTACCTTCCATGGCGGCGAGCAATTCAGCACGTTCAAGACCAGTAGCATGTTCGAGATCAGTTGCTACAGTGCCGTCTTTTGCACCAGGACCAAAAAAATTAGGACCGAGTTCTGAAATAATTTTCATAGTGCTTTATTTAAGGATATAATTATTAAAGTTCTCATTGATAAAAAACCACAATTTCTCGATAATGCCAAATTGCATAAAAACAGCAGGAACGATCGTTTAATAAATCATTACACAAAGCAACTTAATTATAATATGAATGTGAAATGATCTTGATGAATATTCTCTTACCTCCTAAACGAGGCCCTAAAGTAGAAAAGGCTCGAACATCTTGTACTCGAGGAGTCTGTCGAATAACACTTCTAGTGACAACTGTTCCAAATGTACGAAGAGTCGTGGAAAACATTATTCGTTTTAAAGAGTGCAAAACGAAAATTAAAAGATCAGAATTATCAGAAGATTTGAAGATCAGTCGGTCGGCCTAAATTACAATTCTGAGACAAATTTTTCGGGTCGGAGTTAATAAGTCACGAAGTCGGCCTACACCAGAAACGTCGGATCCTGAACAGTTAAGGATCTGCAAGCCCAGAATGTTTCCCGTGCCTAACAATCATGGATGACTAATAGTAAATGCTTATTCATCTAAAGGATACCCTTTAGAATTTAATAAATGACAATATGATGTCTCGAAGCCCTTCATTAATAACATCCACATGTTTTTTATATATATTTCTCACCCGTTAACCATCAGGGCTAAATTGTGCATTTATACCCCAATCTAGATGGTAACATATGGTGCCAGTTGTGTGGAGTGAAACTATATAAGTAACCTCCATATAAATGATTTTGACCTTCACCTTCGCTTAAACGACTTCATAACCGAAGTCATAGAGCTTTCCCGGCAGTCAATATGTTATTCATTATTTCCACCAAAATTTCCCCTATTATTGAACAATCTTCCGTTCATTTTCTCACTTTTATTACAGTATTAATTGGTATAACTCAGTTTATCATATAATCAACTACTCTCAGGCCTCAATCCGTATATTTGAACACCTTCGCACTCATCCCGCTGATAACCTCCCTGAAATCTTTGTAAGAAATCTTATTTTCAGGGCCACTAAGGCACAAAATGCTTAGCCCAAAGGTGTCAACGTTCGCGCTCATAGATATATGTAATCTTAAGCACTAGTGCCAGGCATGATGCCAATATGCCCAGCATTGGCATTTGCAATCCCTAATACGTATATAGGGAAACCGCCGTTCGGCACTTTCTAATCTAATTTGAGATTTTTGACTGATTAAAATCTTTGGTTCTTATTTATCGTTATACACTGTACAATTTTATCCGGTGTCAAAATTAATAAAATAACGAGCTATTTTAATGTGAAAAAATCAGTTCTTCGAAGATATAATGTTTTAAATTAGAATAAAGACCAATCAGAAGATTGTCAATTTAATTTGTACTTAAATATCTGGAATTTTCAATCACATTTTTCTCCTCAAAACAATCTCAAACAGTGGTTTTCTTAGTCCACTTCCCAAATAACGGACGCCATATCCATTAATGCTGCGGAAAGTTATAATCATTTAAAGCACTTTTTATAGGTGCATTACACTTAATCATCTTGTCTTCCATAAAAGTACCTTATTCTTAATACAATTGTTACTACTGTTTGAAAAGACAAATCATAATAGTTCTTCCAATTTAGTACAATCTACTTGTGCTGGATGTACTTGTATGAGAATATTAGTCATCAGATAGCTACACGACTCGGTCGCGCTATAACCAGGAACGTTAATCATATAACAAGAATGTAATTGTATTAAAAAGTTTAACTTAAAGGATTTTTAGCAACTTGATTAGAGACATATTATAATTTTATGCTGAGATTAGAGTATATAAATAAGTAAAACCAAATATAATGTGATTCTCATGAATCATTTAAATAAGTATATTTAGTTTATTTCAATTAATAATAAGGATATACTTTTATAGTGAAGTCCTCGGGCTGAGAAAAAAAAAAATCTTACTATAGCTTATATCGAGAGAATACCACTATATCGAATCTTCGCTACGTATAACAAGAGAGAGTGAGTTGTGGTAATATCGGATTTTTCAAGGTCTTTCATCTAAGAGATCTTAAGCAGATCTACAATACTGCAAGCAAACTACATCCAAAAGTTCAATTATGGTCGTTAGAGGTTTCGCGTGACGAAATGCAGAACTTAGTTTCAAAAATTTAACTGACGAATCTTTACTTGATGTTGGTTTCGATTATGGTTCGAATTTTCACAATACGATTTCGCATATTAAACTAAATAAGACACGTGTAAATTCTACTGTATTATATCTTCAATATTTAGTTTTAGAAATTTAGTCAAGTTTAAATTTGTCATTTTTGAATATGTCATTTGCGTTTAATATTTGAATTGAACAATCTATATGATAGAACGGCTTAAGCCGTGACTAGCTAAAGCTTATGTCGTAACTAGTTACAGCAATCTACAGCATCATTATTTTGACATATTGGATAAAGACAGTTAGTTCTATTTTTTTTTTTCCATTAGGGTGGTTGGCGCAAATATTTTCCATTAATATTTTTGGCACCATTCATATAATGTTCCGTCTAAAAAAAAATCTCCATCCGGGTCACCCGTCGGGTGAAATATAACTCAACAATTCCCGAAATTTTAGGATCCAAATTTTATTGCCATCTTTGCGCCATGTTTAAATTGGCACGCCCAATTTTTGATGTGCCCATACACGAGATGCTGATATCACCGCTGGCATCATCCTCACGCAACAACTAAAAAGCCTCAACGTCAATGCTGTAATGATGTAATGATTAGTGATTTATAAAACACAAATTTGTATATATATGTATATATAATAAATAATAATTTTTTCCCTTTATCATGCGCCAAGAAAAACCAAATTTAAAATTAGGAAAATAAATTTTTTTTTTGTTTGTTGCTGCATATCGACATGTTTTATTTCAATAAAGTTAGCCCATAGGCAGTTTTTAAAGATTTATATACTGTACTGTAAAAGTATAAGTTATAATATACTGTATATTGATTTACCCGACAACTATTTTCCCGACAATTATTTCCCCGACATAATATGTCGGGGAAATAGTTAGAACAAAGTATTTCACGACTAGTTATATTACTTTCCGCACGAATTGCTTTATTATAAAGCTATAATAGTCTTGAATTATTATTATCCATCATCAGTATCAATGTTATTATTTTATTTCAACCGGAGTGTTTAACTATTTAATTTGATTTTTTGTAGTAGATGTAGTGGGTGCTGTTCAAAACACAACCAACGATACGCATTCTGATACATATAATTTTACAATACCAGATCATTACGTACGTAGTACATGTTATGATTATAATCCAACACCATTTTTATTAGTAAAAATGGTGTTGGATTATAATCATAATATGTACTAGCGGAATGATCTGATATTGTAAATTATTATTTTTTATATGTTGCACACCGTGTGAAAAATCTGTCGTAGTTACTGCATCGTTTTTCTCGAAGTTTCAAGTCGTTGTTCCATTTTTTTTTATTATTACTTGCTTTTTTTAGGGGAAGTATTCCGAAATTCACCAGAAACACTATTACGGTTGTTGCTGTTCCTGTTGCTGATGTTGATGCTATTGCTGCTGTTAATAAGAAATGTTTCAAACATAATCAGATAAAAAATAAGATAAAATAATGGATGCAGAAATATATCAACTATACGTATAAGTTTTTGTTTATTAAGAAAAATACATAATCAATTCTCTCCAGAAACAGTAGACCTTTATCAAAAAAAAAAAACTTGGATTCAATAGAAATCCTAAATATTAAATTAGAATTGGTAGCAGGTATGATCTGAGTGCCGTCAAAGGAAAACCTACAATCTGGCTTTCAAGTATATTTTGTGTGCAGTTGGTTATCTGTGTGCCATCTGTGGTAAATACATGTCCGATGATAGATTTACAATAGACGGCACACAGATAACCAACTGTACACAAAAATATACTTGAAAGCCCGATTGTAGGTTTTCCTTTGACGGCACTAATCTAAATTAAAAAAAAAATCGAATATACGTACTATATAGTATGTAACAATTAGTCTCATATGTAAAGCTATAAATATCTTAGCCATACCTCATCGAATTCAATTTATTAGCCTTCTTCAAAATGATTCCCTCTCGCGAGTACGTACTACAAAATACGTCGATATCACGATACACGATAATCTTTTTAAAATTAACCAATAAGATTTTACCTGTATCAAGGTCACTAAGTGATATTAATGTAAAAACTATTGGCTGAGCAAAGTTGATTTTCATTCAATGACTTCCACAGAGAAAACGGAAAAGCCAGACGAGCTTTTTATTGACTTACATGTTAAATACATTCAAACTCTTGATACGGTAACTAAAATTGTTCTTATTCATTTTACGCTGATGAATTAGATTCATAAAATCCATAAATACCATTTGTAGAAAAAAGACGATTTAGAATATTGGCTCACTGAGCACCTTCGTCTGAGTGGTGTATACTGGGGTTTAACAGCCTTAGATTTGATGAATAATGTTGACGCACTTAATAAAGAGGATGTGGTGAAGTATGTGGTTTCTTGTCAGCATGATAATGGTAGTCTTCTAAAAAAAAACTAGTCCAATGATTTATTGAATAATTTGAACCAGTGAATAATAGAATTGTCATTTATTTTAGGTGGGTTTGGTGGACACGTAGGGCATGATCCACATTTATTATATACACTTTATGCGGTTCAAATTTTAGTAATTGAAGATTCTTTGGATGCTGTTAATGTTGAAAAGATTGTAGAATGTAAGAATATTCTTATACATTGAGCGTTGCTTTAACAGTAGCACGTAGTTACTTGACAAATAGTTTTACTGCAGACGTCGCATCTCGTCAAGATCGTCAGACTGGAGCTTTTACTGGCGATGAATGGGGAGAGATAGACACACGATTTTCATATACTGCTATTTCATGTCTTTCATTATTAAAACGATTAGATGCTATAGATGTCAAGAAAGCCATTGAATATATCATGCTTTGTAAAAATTTTGATGGTGGTTTTGGAAATACACCAGGAGCGGAATCTCACGCTGGTCAAAGTATGATTTGTGTTTAATATTACTAAAAGATTAGAAATATATACTATACATATAAACGTATTAACGCAATAATTACATTTTTCAGTCTTTTGTTGCGTTGGTGCACTTGCTATTGTTAATTCCTTGCATTTGGTTGATGCCGACTTGCTCGGATGGTGGCTTTGTGAACGGCAATTGAAAAATGGAGGACTTAATGGACGACCAGAAAAACTTGAAGATGTAGGTTTCATTATTATTTTATTATTATTATTTTTATTATTATTTTTTAATAATAATAATAATAATAATAATAATAATAATTATTATTATTATTTATTATTATTATTATTATTATTATTATATTATTATATTAATTATTATTATTATATTCTTAATTTAATATTATTTTTAATTACTTTCATTTGTGCAGGTATGTTATTCATGGTGGGTGTTATCTGCGCTTAGTATCTTGGGCAGATTGCACTGGATAAACAAGGAAAAGTTGATCGAGTTTATTTTAGCAGCTCAGGTACCTTTTTAAATACTAATTATGATTGGAGATTTCTATTAAAAATTTTGCATCTTACAATATGGGCATAAATATTATCAAGGACTCCGAGTCTGGTGGAATTGCGGACCGACCTGGCGATATGGTAGATGTATTTCATACTTTGTTTGGAATTACAGGTACGACACTTTTTTTTTTGCCCATAGAATTTAAATTTCATCTAGCGTGTTTATTTATTTATTTTTTGTACGACTTTTTTTTAGGGTTATCATTATTAGGATATCCTGGGCTAAAACCAGTTGATCCCGTCTATTGTTTACCAAAATATGTAGTTCAAAGAATTGGTTTGGCAGAAAGATATCATTACTAAATAATGATTGATTTACTTAAAGTAATTACTTTTTTTAAAAAAAGGACTTGTTGTGTAAGACAATGGTGAATTGGTGAAATTAATTTCACTAGCATTATTACGTGTAACTATGTATGAGTCATTAACCGTCAATTAAATATTTAAAAGTAATTTATTGATTTTATTTTAAACCCAATTTTTTTGATTAAAAAAGAAAACTCAACGGAAAAACATATTTCCTCCAAGATTTTTTAGTATGATAAATAATATTATACCATTAATTAGTAAAATTTTGAGTAACGATAATGTTAATATATCGATGTAATTTTTACAGCAAGTATATGTAATATTATGTCGAGTGAGATCCGAACTACCAGATACTTAGATTTGGCGTATATATTTTGGTATATATTTGGTATATATATAAAATGATTGTACCATATCCGTTTTTGGTTGCACAAGATTCGAATAATAACTTATTTTAGCTTGACAGTTGAATGAGTGCAAGGACCAGTAATACACAAGGTAGATTGAATAAGGTAAATTTTAATTTATTTAGCAGCGTGCCGATTATCTATGCAATGGTTTCACAATGATAACTATAATATATACCGTTGATAAGATATATACTACGTAATATTGCTAAAATGTAAGGTTTATCTCATGGGGGATCTACATGATGCACACCGATACAGTATCTTGCGTAAGATTTTTGCAATCTCCAAAAACTCGAAAAAAAACTGTACTCTATACTGTATCTGGGTAAGGGTTTTTTTTTAAAAAAAAAATTATTGTTTATAAATTTTTAAGATTAAAAGCCGTATTGCATCTATTTTAAAAAAAATTTTTATGAACCCTTTAAATTATTTTTAAATTTTATACAAAATTACAAAAATTAAATCAATCGTATTTTTGAATCTCAAATTATATACAAATTAATTACAGTAATATCGATATTAGGTGATGGATAGTTTTTTTCGCGAAATCTGCTGCAGATGTAATTGCATGATCGTGTATTACTATTATTTCGAATCCAGACCAATTGTTAAATTTAGAAATTAAAGGCTTTGTGATATTTTTTTTTGTTTATAAACAGATTGAAGATCGAATCTTATCAGTTAGCTGGTAGAAAAATGATGTAAATGAACGAATGTGTAACAAAAATACTTTAATAATCTAAACAGTAACAAAGATACTTAAATAATCTAAAATAGTTAGCTGGTAGAAAATGAACGAACTGTGTAACAAATATACTAAACAAATATATAATATTAGAAATAACCGATACGGACATTTCGCTTTTCTTCACTTCTTCACTTTTTTTTTAATGAAATTTTTAATGAAATTATAATAAAAACATTATCTTCACTTTTTTTTTTAGTGAAATTATAATAAAAACATTATTAAACTTAACGTTGTATAAACCTGAGTTCTATCAAGAAGTTCAATACCGAAATTATGGCGACACCAGTACAGCCTTTCGCAATACCACCAGAAGTATTTGCTGGTACTTTAGCTGGTTGGGCGCAGGTTGTAGTTGGACACCCTTTCGATACAGTCAAAGTTCAACTTCAAACTAACGGTAAACAGTATCGAAATGGGGTAGACTGTTTTAAAATTATAGCCAAGAATGAAGCTGTAAGTATCTATGCTGTTTTCATGAATTTTTATTACCAAATTTTCATGCCAAATTGGTTATAATCATTCCTACAGCTTATCGGATTTTACAGAGGCGTTACGTCTCCTTTAGTGGGAATTGGTGTCTGGTCAGTTTACACTATTATTATTCATTCGCGATTTATTAACTTGACTGTATGTAAATGAATTAATAAAGAATTTTATCTTTTAGTAATGCGGTCTTGTTCAGCACTTATGCTAATATACGTCGATTGATCCGAGGTGGTGATACAACGCGAACTCTCTCATTACGTGAAACTGGGATGGCAGGAGCACTTACTGGCTCAGTTATGGCTTTTGTCAATACACCAGTAGAATTATTAAAAGTTCAATTACAAACCCAAAAAAATTCGCCTGTACCTAATCCAGTAAGTGTTTTTAATTCTATATTAATTTTTATATTAAAAAAAAAAAATTTTTTTAACATATATATTTCATTGATATAGTACAAAGGTGTTTTCGATGCCGCAATACGGATATATGTTAACAAAGGGTTTTCCGGTTTATATCACGGTCTACCTATAACGATTGTTCGCGATATTCCAAGCTTTGCAACCTATTTTTGTATGTAATAAAATTCTTTATTTATGTATATACCTAGTGATATTTTCTTATATTTTTATATGTTTTTAATACAGTTGTGTATGAAGGAACCAAAAAAATAATAGGTAATTATAACCATAGCGGAGATAAGAACAGACTTACTTCCGCAGAGTTGCTGTTTTCGGGAGGAGTAGCTGGAATTGCCTGTTGGATTCCGTGTTATCCGCAAGATGTCATTAAAAGTAGAATGCAAAGCAATTTAAAGTAATTAATTAATTCATTATTAAATTATGTACAATTATTATTTAACTAATAACCATTAATATAATATTCTTTTAAAATTATAGTTATAGTTCTACAAGAGAATGTTTTCGGTCATTAATCTCTTATAGTAGGAAATCAAATACTCCAATGTTTCGTTTACTTTCTAAAGGTTTTGGTCCAACAATGATGAGGGCTTTTCCTGCTAATGCTGCAACTTTCTTTGCCTATGAAATGGCACTTAAGATTTTACGCGTCAAAGATTAACCGATAAGAATTATTTATATATAGAATTTTAAAAAAAAAAAAAAAAAATTACGTAGTCGTAGAATTCGGATTATGCATTTTCACTGTAATTAGAATTCATTTCAAAATAATAAAAAAAATAAGCATTTTCACGTATGTTTGTGAAGTTTTATATTCAGCGAGTTACATAGTAAATTGCCCAAGGAAAATTTTTAATTAGAAAAGGATAATGGATAATTTCTTCGAAACCGGTGTTTACGCGCGTTAACTCCTTGTCGTGTTACGTTACATTTAATTGCGATTTTCGATTGGCCAATAATCATGTGATCGGACAATTATCATTCAGGTCATGGAAATTTTTTAAAATTATTTAAAGTTTTTGAAATTTCAGTCAAATTAATCGAAATTTTTTTGAAATACTGGTTCAAATTCTGACGCAAATAATACCGTTCCTGGGAAAAAAAATCGATTTATGTACCATCCCTGATTGGATTGTTCTCAAAGGATTCTGACGTAGTGTGAATACTAAATTCATGCCTATTAATTAATCCATGTCATTAGTTTCGACATTACCTAAGCATTAATCCTTAAAATAACACATTAAGAATAAAAAAAACTTTTATTCAAAAGATTGCCATGCATAATTTGATGTTACATATTATTCTTACAATCTGATTAGGCAGTAGTAACGGGATTGCCCGATTTTTACGCCATGCTTTACGAAACCCTATTAGGGTGCGTCAATCAAAACTTTCTTTTTCTCATGAATTGTATTTTTGCAATTCTAAATCACAGAAAATTTGCTGTATAGGTTAAAAAAAAATATTAAAATCTTATAGAGGGACTGAATCAAATGATTTGATTGAGCATTTTTTACTAAGCAATTTGTGGGTATCGTCGAATAATGATAGCAGATAGACTTGGAGTCGATTCCAAAAAACATACAATAAAACTAGTTTTTAAAAATAACAGAAGCAATAATATTTGTGTTATAAAATCACGTGTATAACACGTGTTATGCTTCATTAAACGAATGTTCCTTACATGGTCAAGACTTTTTGATAGAATATGTTGTACACAACCAACACAACTTTTGATCAAGAAATTGGATTTATATTCGCGAGTAAGTCATTTTTGATAATAAAACTGCTTCGGTTTCGCTTAAGTTCATGAGTGTTTTTGGATACAAGTAAGAGATCTTTATTAGAAAATACTATACTAGAAAATATTTTTTTACAATACCACTATAATTCATAAATAATATTAAAAAAAAAGGAAATGTATTTACATATCGAGATGCATTTCTGCATTTACATATCGAGATGCATTTCTGCATTTCTGCATTTACATATCGAGATGCATTAAAAATTTCTGCGTATTACACAAATTTTCACTGTCAATCTTATCACGATATAATTTCTATAAAATCATTTGATAAGATAATTTTTATTATCTTGCATAACTCCTACGTAAAAGATGGCATTGAGGACATATATAGCAGATAGTAAAAATATTCAATTTACTGGTACGTACGTAGATGAAGATGATGAGCATTTAAGGTTACAAAATAAAATCAGTTATTCCTAAATTTATGCAAAGATAACATTTATACGTACGTACAATTTTAAATCTTTAATATATAAAATGGATATATAGAGAAGGTACTATATTAGTTATTATTAAATAATTACATAATCCCGCCTACACTCTCACCATTCACTCCGATGAAATCAAAAATTGGAAAAATGATTCAAATAAAAGGATATATTCATTGAGTAATAGAGCTATCATATTTCTATAATAAAAACTTATTATTTTATTACTAAATTTATTATAAAATTTGCGACAAATCCTATCGGCTATTCAAAAACAATAACAGATAGCGTATTTATCTATTTAGCCATTTCGCTACACCAGCATAACAAAAATAAACAATTAACTTATCATAAACGCCATCCCTTATCTTACATTTCTGTGACACATCATAACCAAGCAATGAAAGATTGATCGTGCTTTTATACTTTTTTTTTTTTTTTACAATTCTTGATAAAGTAAATAAAATAACTGATCCGATCTAATTGAAGCTTTTATAGATTTCTGTGTTAATTTACACTAAAAATGCTATAGCATACTATAGCAATCCTTTTTTAGTTTCAACTATCTTGCGGAAGGAGTTTCAATAACTTTCTGGTCGTAGTTCAAAACTGTGAATTTAGAACATCATCATGGGTAATTCATTTAGCAATAACAATCATGGATTAATCAACAATAGATGGAATTGATTTTTATTAAGAAATTTTACTTTTTTAAAAACTATTAGTCATTTCTACTCGAATTTCGAAGAAAACCTTCACTCTTTTAATTGGTTTTCATTTATTGTGCACACATTCTATATAACTAACATATCAATTTTATTCAAAATATCCTGCCTAGTTGTAATCACTTAATTTTTTTTATCTAAAAATGAAAGTAACAAAGCTTTAGCAATTTTTTGTAGCATTGATTTAATAATTTTGATACATATTTGGGTCTTTTGAAATTGATTCCGTAGGCAGTGTTAAAATTCAGATCGAAACCTTGCATCTGTGTCATACAGTAGATTTTGATTGCACAACCAACTACCAGTTGCACACATGTGCATATAAATTTTATTTTTATATGCACATATTATATTTATCTCTGAATGATGCCAACGTTATAAAATTACTATACCAAATGAGTGACGAAGAGGGGAAACCTGTAAGTAAAAATTAACGTTATCACTAATGATAGCGTTAATTTTTACTTACAGGTTTTCCCTCTCTGTCACTCAAATATATCACCATTTTTGGTTAATTTTCGGAATATTTCGGATATTTCCTCAAAATTTAAGCTCAGCCTTTTACGTTCATCCATTTTCCTTTCGGAACTCTTCGGACTACGTCGTATCTTTATCTAACATTTTATATTTAAATTTTTAAAATTTTATAATTTCTCTTGCACGTTATTTTCGCAAGCTCCTTATTTAAATTTAATTGCACAATTGTGCATATACATTTAGAACTTCTCTTGCACAAATAAAAAACTACATGCATATGTGCATCTTGTGCAAGGTAATTTTAAACACTGCCGTAAGTACTTTGTATACTGGGTACTACAGTATATTTAGGGTGTTTTGTAATAAATTAATATAGTAATTTCGTATAGTCCAGTAGTCCAATAAACAGAATCCAAGTTCTTCATGAGTTTGATTCTTTTTTGATTCTTTTGCACAGTGAATGTTGATACTTCGTTGAAGCTATATAATGATTGATGCCGTAATTCAAATTGTAATTTGTAATAATGTAGTAATTATTGTCCGGAACGAGGCGATGAACTCTTAATTTCTACGCTTAGTGATACAAAAGTTGTTTTCGATGCATTAAATTTAAAAAATCAAGAAAGTAACTTTGAATTTTCCGCCTGTCCACTCATGTGATGATCTTATACTTTATATATTATGCTCCGGACTTCTATCGAATTTCGATTCCTAGTTTACTACAAAAGTAATAATTGTAATAATAATTACTATGTGTCGTAATTATTATTACGTGTAGTAGTTATTATTACGTGTAGTAAATGCAGTAATTACTACTATATATATATATATATATATATAATAATTACTAGAAATAAAGTCCGAAGCACCTATGCAATGCATATAGTTATAAAATATTTTAAATGCTTAGGTTTATTTAAATCCAGGTTGAATTCATTGACCAGGGTTCGATTCTATAGAATAGGTGGGCAAACTCCACTAACTCCGCGACTCCGCTAAATATTTTAATCATTAGCGGAGTTTATTTTTTATATTGCCCACCTATTCTACAGTTCTATAGAACATCCAAAGTGTATCTAAACTTTTGTGCTAAAAACTTTTACATAATAACAAGACCAGTTTACCTTGCGAATTTATTTTTTTTTAGACACGGAAATTTTTCGAAAGCAATTTTCAAAATTTTTGCCAAAATCGAAATTTTTCACAATTTTTGCACAAAGCTACATATAAAATAAATCACATGAGAATGATATTATTGGCTCAAGACAAATTCACTTTACATACTAACAAAGTTTGACCGGTATTTATCAATCATAACTGTTACTACATTTGGAGCTATAATTTAAAAAGTATATCAAGTACTGATAGTTTGGCCAGCGCTACATAAAATTATAAAAAATTATAAATCAAGCTGGCATTATAATATAATTTAGGCCGACTTGATAATGCCGGCGATAATATTATTTTGTGCAACTGAATTTTGTCAACATAAATGATGCCCGTTGACCAATAGAGTATCTTTATTCATTGAAAAAACTATACTATGCGCAGATTATGCGTGTTTCTTTAAATTATACAAATCATACAAATCGAATATTTTATGTGCTATAAGGCAAATTATGCGGATATTATGCCAGATCATAATCATGGACTCTCTAACCGACATGTCTGATATTCTAATAATATACTTGAAATATCGAGTGCGCCGATAACCCACTGCATATATAAGGAAAAATTAAAATCTTTTCTAAATAGACCTAAATTGAAGTTCAAATATTAGTTTTCTTTACATCACTTAATGTAGATTTCATAATGCCTGGTCCCGTGAACCAATCGCGAGTATATTGGGTTCTCTTCTTCTTGATTTCGCTAAAATTGTTGTTGTCAGGTTAACAAAAAGTGTTATCATCGAGGCCGTCCGAATGTGGTTGATATGATCCATCTGAATTACTTTCGTCAAATGCTATAAGGTCATTTCATTTTAATTATGATATGCAACATTCATCAAATATTCACATTAATCCTTTGCTTTTAAATTGAATAATCATGGATCCCAACCCTAATCAACTAAATTGCAACAGAAATAATTTGTGGTATGAAATTTAATTAGAAAATGTATTTGTAACAAGCTACTATAAAATAACACAAATTATTGTAAAACAATTTTTAAAAAATTTTTTCGTGTTCGTAATATTTATGTATTATATAGATGTAGAACTCAACTTGGATACCCTTATGTTAAAAAATTCCGGACCTCTGGCCTAAAAATTTTGGGTCGTAGTATATCAAAAATGCACCCTATAACTAAAATTTCATGCTGAAAACTTTTACTTAAAGGTCAGAAATTAGTTGTTAGTAAAATTTCGCGTTATTTACAATTTTTTGCAATTTCTTATGTTTTTTTTGCATTTGTTTTGCTACACAAAATTCTGCAATTTTATTGGTTCCGATTTACGAAATTTATGATCAAAAGTGATCTTCAGCCCGGAATTTGCTTGACATAATAGGAATGCATCGGAACCATGGTCGGATGGGCTGGAATTGATCAATTTTGCCCTAGATCATTACTAATGAAACCATAGTCGCTCATTAAGTAAAAAGTGCCCAGCTGATAGCTAACCCTAACTCTTAGAAATCCTCCTGTAAAAAATGTCTTTTAGAGGCACAGAAAAAATTTTGGTGTGTCCCCGGGGGCCACTTATCTGATTGGTTGTTGTAAATCAATTGCCCAGGTAGCTTAGTTTATACACATTAAAGTAATTCTGAAAACCCAATACTTAACTAACAAAAAATCATCACAGATATCTTTTATAGTTTATCTAAAGTATAATATTATAAATAAATAATTACTACAATTATATTTACTATATGTATTTTTACAGGAACTTTTTAAAACCATATAATACATGTTGTAATAATTACTAAATATCATACTAACTACTTCATGTCATAATAATTATTTCATGTAGTATTATTACTACATATACATATAGTATATAATTATTATCTAAAGCATAACACTTGATTATATTATACAAAGTGTACAGAAATATTATTTGAAGAATTGGCAAATTCACTGTTATACAATGACTCAGTAAATTTGATGATTCTTAAAGATATAGTGTAATATAATATAAATAAGTGGCAATTATTTTATTGTACAAAAAAAATTACCAGTTTATATATATAAACAAGTTATAAACTTTGGATTTAAGTTTTTTATGCATCTGCATAGTTGTGCACCCTGTGATCAACTAATCAAAATTGACCACGTGATAACTAAGACAAGCATCTGGCCCACCACCTTTCGGTATCCAAACTATCAAACCACCAACCAATCAAATCACGAGAATTAATATTCAAAAAATAGAAAATTAAAAAACTTTGTTTTTTTCAATAATACTAAAATTGGTGTAACCCTAAATAAATATTAACCATAAACACTTTTTTGATATTATTTTAATTAGGGAAATGTTATTTATCAGCTGATTTTTTGTAAATAGTAAAATTTCTCTTCCTCAAATAATTTTGATTATATATAAGCATATATGCATATGATATATTAGCATAATATTTTGGCACCACTTCCTGCTAAAAAAGTCAAACGATAAATGACACTTCCCTTACTATATCTCAAAAAAAAATTTTGATTTACAATACACATGATATTAGTAACCAATAATATAAAACTTCTTATTAAGGACAAAATATATAATAGTGCAGAAAAAAAAAAAATAAAGATAAATTGGATATTGCCAGTATTAAAAATATAATAAATATATACAAATCTATTTTATATATTACAAATCATTTAATAAAAATTTTTTTATAGATAACAGTTAGGGTTCTGCAAACTGGGCACTGCCTGTGTCCAAAAAAAAAATCTAGGCATGGGCATAGGTATGAAAATTTAGAAAATCTTAGGCATGGACATAGGTACAAGTGTTAAAATTTTGGCGTAGACATAGGCACAGGCACAAAAACTTGGCATAGGAATGAGCATGGGCACTTACAGACTCTTAATGACAGTTAAGAGTTGAATCTATATACTAAAAATTTGGGTGTATAACAATAACACTTGCATAGTAAAACACGTCAATCAAACCTTATTGGCTGTTAATTTTGACTATTTAATGCTATACGTCATACCTTTTTTTTTTTTTTTACTTATCTCTTTGAGCACTAGAACTACAATCAATATCTTCTACTAATAACTTTTTGTAAAGTAAGTGCTAACACTGCAACGAAATAACAGATATAGGATATAAAACTTTTATTTTCGACTACCTTAGTCAAACTTTCAATCGTTATAAGTTTAAAATCTTAAAAACTATATGCATTATCTTTTTTTCATACTACTAAACTTATTAAAATTTCTACTAGAAGCATACTAAAACTACTGCCCCTCCTGCTATACCTCTTTCAAGAATAAACCTAGCTCTCCAAAAAAAAATTCAAGCATATAAAAGGTAAAAGTTTATTATTAGATCCCTCCGATCAGCTCTCTGTAACTAGCAAATTACATATTTAATACTATATGCTTGAACTTTTTAACCTATTAAGTCCCTTTTTATTTTCTACTCTGCATTAATTTTTTCACTATATTCGTCCTTGGAATCATTGCTACTATAATTATTATATTTTAATATATTTTAATTTTTATTCTTTTTTCAAGCCTAGAATATGAATCTGGTGACAATTCTTCTCATTTTACTTTAACTTTGCATCTTCAACTCTTATTCTTTTATCTTTTTAGTTAAGTATTCTACTTCTTTTTTTTTATTCACCTAATTTTTTAATCTGAATATTCAACTCTATTAGATTCATCTTTGTTACATTAATTTCTTATTTTTATCCTAATTTATCTTTCTAGCATTCATTTGTAACTATAGTCGTCTTAATAGTATCTTATTTTAACCTTCCTTTTTATGCTCTATTATTCTTTTGTCTTTTTTTTCTTATCTACTCTACTTATCATTTTTTAAAAATTATTTTTTTCATCTTTAGATAATTACCACTAGAATCTTTTTTTCAATAATTTATTCTTATTTTTGTTGATTTTTTTTACATACTTGCTTTTGCAGTTGTAATCATCGCGTTTGTATCTTACTTTAACCTTTCTTATTACTCTCTTTTATTCTTGTATCTTTTTTTTTACACATTCTAATTCTTTTTTTTTTTCCTTCAACTAATTCGTTCTTCTTTAAATCACCACAATTATAATCCTTTTCTCCATGATTTCTCATTCTCTTTTCCAAACACACTTTCTTAATTGGAATCTTCACTCTGAAATCTTAATTTATTATGATCTTTGATTCTTGTGTCTTTTTTTTTTAACCATTCGAATTAATAATATTTTTTTCATCAAATAATTCTTTCATCTTTATATCATCAGCATTAGAATCCTATTCACAATCCTTTCTTCTTCTCTTTTTCATCTATTTTTTTCAGAGTCTGCTTTCTTATTAGATTTATTACGCTAGGATCTTAATATAACCATTCGTATTATACTCTTTTATTAACTTGTTTTTTATAAAAATCTAATTATTACTTTTTTTTTCTTACAGTGTTTCATTTATTTTGAAATTATCACCGTTAGAATACTTTTCACAGTAATTTATTCTTCCTTTTTTCATTATTTTTCTTCAATGCATACTTTTATAATTCAAATCATTATACTGGAATTTTAATTTAAGCTTTCTTATAATGCTTATTTCTTCTTTTATCTTTTTTTTAATTCTATTCAAATATTTATTTTTATTCTTCTAATATTTCATTCTCCAAAGCTAATAATTCAATATTTATATTTAAGCTTTATTATTTCACTAAAACATTCATTACTTAACTATATTATTTATATTTACTCTTTTTTTTTATTAAAGATGTGTAATACTAATAAAATCTTTTATTTATTACTTTTATACTCTTATCTATCCAATTATTGCATTAGATATTTTATTACTATATTGATCATTTTTATTAAACCTCTATGTCTATTTATTAGCTATATTAATTTTTTTTTATTTCTTATTGTACAATTTCTTACATGTTGTATTAACCAATATATTAATTTATAAACTAAATACTGTAACAATATTGAATATATATTAATAATAACAAACCTCACTGTCAAACTTTACAATTAAAGCAAATTTTATACGTATGTATAAAATATAACTATTAGCCTACCAAATTTGGAAATTCTTTTTCTTTTTTTAGCTTTTATTCCATCATCCAAGCTTCTAACTCTATTAAGCTAAATACCTTCAAAGCCTACCAGAATGATGTGATAATAACAATTAAAATCTCAAATGCCACTATTATATTATACGATCTCATGATTATCATCATCTTTTGATTAAATCAATAAAATTATATTACTTCTAAGTTCTAACCTAGATATAAATATTATTGAAATAATTACTTAACATTTCAGTTTTACTGAAAAATCTTAATATATGATTATCATCATACTCTAATAAAAATGTACGAAATAATCTTAGATCCAAGCCTCTCTACTTATATAAAACCTATTCAAACCCTCGAAAACACCGCACCACGCCAAAATAATTAATCACTATCTCAATTCTCTTTAAATGATCGTAAGATATAATTATCACTTACTTTACTTAAAGTGTATAAATTATAATATATCATCGCATATTTATAATATAGCAATCAAATACGAAAATCATGATATTTTTGATCTGTTAAATTTGATAATCTACATATAATTAGTGCTGAAAATATATATTTAACAAGCAATTTTCTTTACCCTTAATCTTAAATTAATTATCAATTCTAATCTTTTTCTTACCTTTCATTCTCAGTTTATATATTAATATAACCTTTGTCTTTTTCTTCATTTAAGCTATTTAATTTTCTTAAAAATGTCAACACTATCTGAAACTTCTGAAGATTATTAAAAAGAACTCTTCTGTAACAGGCAAAAATAGTTTAGAGATAAAAAAAATGATAATACCACTCAATTCACCATTGTAAACTCTGAAGAACTCAAATGTTTACTTACAACTGAAATCCCAACTGTTGTAATTAAACCTCTTACTCTTGATACTAATCTCAATCTAATTAATATTCATTCTAATCCAAGACTGTGCCCTATTCGCATTAAAACATTACGATATGATATGGGAAGAATAGATCAAGTCTGTAGATATTGTGAAGCTAAATTTTGGATGCTAGAAAAGAAGCAGAATAGTGGTCTCGCTGCTCCAAAATTTTTTGTTTGCTGTGCCAGTGGCAAAGTAAAATTACCTCTATTAATTCAACCACCCCACACTTACTAAATTTATATACTTCAAATACACATCTTGCCAATGAATTCTGAAAAAACATAAGAGTCTATAACTCAGTTTTAGCTTGCACATCTTTTGGTGCTAAAGTAGATCAACAATTTGTAGAACAAGGTGTATCAAATTTTTGAATTCATAGCCAAGTCTATCACCTCATTGGACCATTGTTACCAAAAGAAGGCAACTCTCCAGCATTTGCTCAACTGTACATTTATGACACTGCGTATGAAATTCAAAATCGTCATAACACTATGAATCAATTAAATGAATTGAGTGAAGATATTTTACAGACCTTACAAAATGTACTTGATAAAAGCAACCCTTATATTCAAAAATTTCATCAAGTAAGAGATATTATTTAAAAAAATTCAACTACCTCAATTTCAATAATAATTTATAGTGATAGATCTCGTGACATCCGCCGCTATAACGCCCCAACATCCTCTGAAGTAGCTGCAATTATGGTCAGTAATAATTATGAAATCAATCCAATGAGCCGAGATATTCTTTTTAGATCACACAAAGGAAATTTGCGAAGAATATCCAAGTTTCATCCCTCATATGATCTGCTCCACTATATACTATTATTCCCTGGAGGTGATGATGGTTGGTACATAGATATACCACTCATAAATACTGTAAAAAGAGAAAGAGTAACAACAATGCAATTATACTCCTATAGATTGCAAATTAGAGATCGTGATTGGATACAGCATGCTGGCCATTTATATTAACAGTATATTGTTGACCAATATGCCAAGATAGAACAAAATCGTTTAATCTACCTTAAAACGAACCAAAAATCTTTTCGAACTGAGTTGTATCAAGATGTTAGACGCATTACATACTCGTGATAATAGTACGAATATTGGCCATCATATAATTCTTCCTTCATCTTTTACTGGTGGACCACATCAAATGTATCAACTATATTAGCATCAGGAAGTTTTAAAAGCATTTAATAAATATTAACTAACACACAGCATTAGTTAATACTCAAAAGTGTAGAAAAATGAACCCTTCATAGCTTAACGCATTGAAAAATTAGTATACCAACGCATTAAGCAACAAATTTTGTTAACCAACATGTTTCAAACCAATATTTGCTTGTGTTAAACAACAATTTTATTAACTAACATGTTAAGAAACTACATATTTTCGTGTTAAACAACAAAACATAGTTAACTAACACTATTTAAAAGCTTAAGATTACATATTAAAAAACATCATCTGTTAATAAATTTATTTATTTGCCAATAGTTAATATATGTAATAAACACAATATTGCTAGCTAATAAACTAATAAAAATTTATATAGTTATATATATTATCTATTGTATACTAAAGGCATTTATTTGCACAAAAGACTTCTCTGTATTTATATTAGCATTCGCATCAGGAAGTTTGAAAAGCATTTGAAAACTATTAACTAATGCTAGTTATTATTTAACACTAAAAGAAGTAGGGAAACGAACCCTATACAGACTAACAGCAT